GAAAGCTGCTTCTCCTCCCAGCTTAATTTAGCAAATAGTTTGAAGAGTAATATTCTGCAAATAAAAGCCAAAGAATATACACAAGGCCATTAAATAGCACACTGATAAACCTGGTGGTACAGGCAGGTGCAAAAGTTCACATCTGATGAAGCCTCTATTTCTGAATTTTCCTGGTAGCATTCCCATAAACCGCCTCACACCAGCGAGCTAACAAATTCACACTTTTTGAGCCAAAAAGGAATAATTCTTCAATGTAGAGTAATAAGCATTTAGAAATACAGCTAATTGTAATAAATATTTAACTGTTCAGACAGCTATGTTAAACAGTTAATTTAAAAGTGAATCTTGAAACTGGTCCATGGCATTCATTCTTATACTACAGGAAAACAAAGAGCTCAGTAAAACAGGAACATCCAGAATTACAACAATAGGGTATAACGTCTTGCTGTAAACAAAAAAAAAAACAAAAAACACCTCACCTACTCTAGAGTTCTGGCAAACACAGAAGTTCTACAGTTTCAGGCAACAAAATGAATACTTCCCCAGGATTGAGAAGTTTTATCTATGATAAACTATTCCAATACTACCTTTCACATGGTCTCTCTCTGTATTTTAGTATCATTTAATCTGACCACTGTTGGAGCAATCGTATTGGTGCAGACTGACCACTACATTGAAAAACCAAAAGTACGCTCAGTGGGTGATCTTAAAACATGAGATGCCATCTTTCCAAAGTCATTTCAGAAGTGACACGAAAAGGCTGATTCAAATGCTTTAAAAGAAACACTCAACTGAGCAGATACACAGCACAATGTAACGTATAAAACGTGAGTGACCTCAAACTTTCTAGATGCTATTGCAGGGTAGTCTGTCTCTCCCCCATGTGAAGACATCTACTCTCAAAAAAAACCCCAAAAACAAACAAACAAACAAAAAAACCCCAGAAAACAAAAATTATAGAAAGTACCATTCTTAGTTTGAAAACAGGAAACACTTCTGGTGCTACTATATTGTTCAGGAATCTTAGCCCTTGATGCCAATTCCAATATTTTGGGCTCTACAAATACGTTTCTTGTCTGATTTTACAAGTGTATTTTGGAACAGATGCTAACTTTTATCCGAAGTTAAAGATATTGTACATAATGATTATCTATCATTAAAAATAAGTGACAGCCTGAAATACGCAGAAAATAGCTTTGCTTTCAATAAATATGTTGCCTTGTCAAGCCAAAAAACATGGTGTGATTTTAGATGGGTAATATGTAATTCCTTTAACTTCTGCTATGAAGACAGGCTTTGCTTTTGAAATGTAGCTATTTTAATAATGCTATTTGGCAATGTTGATTAAAACACAGATCACTTTATAATCAGTACCATCAAAACTACTGGCAACAAGAAAATGGGCTAAGACTATTTCAGACCTCACAAATGTGTATCAAATTTTACTTAACAAGAATCAAAACAAAACAAAATAAACAAGGAAAGGGTTGGGTATTGTCAGATTAGATTTTAAAAGGTCAAATAGTTACTGACATGTGAACTCAAATCAAAAATAGCTGGCAGGAGAACACATATTAGACATTAGGTCATTTAATCCACTCCCCTGCCAGTTCTGTATTGTTCTCTGCTGCACCATTGTAAGTGCTTTTGTTTATAATGTGGAAGAGGAGAGGAAGCAAGGGATGTTGGGGGATCAAAGTAGATTGTCTTTAGAGGCTGAAGCAAAAAAAAAAAACCACTAAAGAAACACGAGTCAGAGAGAGAGAGCATCCTGGAAACGCAGCTGATAGGAATTAATGAAAAAGCAAGATAAAAGCAGCAGAGAAATTCAGAATTAAACTAAGAAACTGAAAGCAAAAGCTCAGCACAGAATGGTGCAAGAAAATTATTGCCTACAGGAACCTGGCGTCGTTTGTTGAGTAAATGGGAAGAAATGAAGCACGTAAGATTTATGGGATTAATGGAAGAGGGAAGTGGAGAGGCAAAATGGCTTAGGTGTTTCCCAGCACATAAGTGCTGGGTAAGTGGTAGCAACTGCATCTCTTGCTCCCCCACCCATCCAGCTGTTTATAAGAGCCACAGTCAAAAGTAAGTCATAGATTTTGTTTTTTCAACACAATTAATTCTGTGATCCACCTCACCAGATGGATATGGAAACGGTTATGCTAACACAAGTGAGAGAGGTCACAGAGGTAGGACATGATGGAAAAGAGGATATCAGGAAAAGGAGGCTGTTTAAAACAAAATGGTTCACGATATCTGCGGTCTAAAATAAGTTAACACTCTTTTCAAGTGTGTTTTATCCATGCTTTTGCCACAGAATTCGCTCATGACTACATAAGTTACTTAAAAACTGTTCTTTCAATGTGGACACTAGCTACATGCATCTTATTTTAGGGGTGCTTCTCCCAAAATGCAAATGCTTGATTTGCAAAAGCAGCATAGGCTTAGACGAGATGTTCAATTTATTTGCACCTGTGCACTTAATGTAAACCAGGACACTGAACTCAACACCCTGAAAACAAACCAGATCCTATCTGGACCAGATTTGATCTTCATAGTTTTATCTTTCATTCTTCATGTGGAGTGGGAGGATGTTTATCTTCTTGTCTTTGGCGAGTCTTGTCAAAAAATTAAGGGGGATATTTGTCGAGTACTGAGATATTAAGGTGCTAAACACAGCAGAAGACACAAGGAGATTTATAATTCCATAGTCAAAGCAGAATTTGAATGCAGATTTGAGTCACGTTCAGACAATAAGTTTTGACATCACACAACTAAAGTAACAGGGCAAGATCAAAAAACTTCATCTCTTAAATACCTTGAGTGTAACAGGATTTTTAAAGTAACAAACAGTATTTTATTACTTAATAGAAAACTGTAGTTCAATCTAGATGTAGGAAAAGGCTGAATTAAAGCTAGCTAAAAAACTTCAGTTCTCCTCTTCTTTATTTGTCAGTGCTTCTGGAAATGCCAGTATTAGTATAGTTAATCTATGTGTAACTATCTACTTCTAATAAAAGAAAACTGATGCCACTGTATTATAATCTCAACATCAAAGATGCAATGCTTTGCCATTTGAGCCAATACATAACCTGCCAGCATTAGCTGGATGCAAATTTCTGGATGAACTTGCGTGAGAACGGGATAATCCCTGTTTTGCCTGGGGACTTCCTGATAATTGCTAATTCCAAGAAAATGAGATACTCAGGAATCCCAGGCTCTATTCCAATCTGTTTCAGGAAATCAAATCCTCTTGATCAAGAGGAGTATAAGTGAGATAGGTGAACAGATGAGAAAAAAGTCTCACTCCTCTTGTTTCCATGCTGCACTCTCACACAGAAATTCCCCATCCCCTCTTCTCTGTCTTCTAATCTTACTCCCCTGGTCCAGCTAGAACTGCTCTTGCAAACCCACCCTTACTGGAGATATGTCTACTCAAACGTGTAGTCACCTCTCACACTTGTAAACCTCCCCCACAACAGCTTTATCAGTGGCACTCCCTCTGTTCAACACAAGACCCAGACTGCGCAACACCACAGTTGCGCAATCCCTTCACACAGGTGTGTGCATGCCCATGGGTATAAATACACATATGTACATAGAAAAAACAGTGCTTTTACATACATACTTATTCGTTTTTATACAAAAAACCCAAACAACTCTTTCCCTCCCTGTTATACACCTTTGCTTGAGCTAGCATCAGCATCCCTATGGCAGTGCAGATAACCAGATGCAAGCACTAACTAGTTTAATCAGAAGAAGTGTTTAAAAGGTTAGTGTGAAACTGTGGGTCCATCCCACTTCATCCTCCTGCTGTATAAACAATGATGCCAGCATGGGAAGAAGGTGGTACACAAGGTGACAATGAGCAGCAAGGCTGCTAAAAAACATGACTAGTTTTGGTTTTTTTGCAGTGACACTGCCAGACTGTAATAAAAAAATTTAGGCGTCAATTTTAATCTAGAACACCAACATCTACATAACTGTTCCTCTTCTCTCCCAGATTTATCTATGACAAAGGGGTTATGAAAACTTGAGATTCCTTTAAGTTTCTTCATTTACTTATAGCCTTCTTTCCTTTACTCAGTGGGTCCATTCCTCTCCATTTTGTTTCCAGGAAGCCTAGCCACCGCTTGCTCTTTCACCCCTCATCCAATGCAACGCCCGATCCCAGTTTCAATCGTGATAACCCTGAGGCTCCCTGTGCCCCTCCTTGCTTCCTGTGGATATGAACAAATCATTCCCTTCCCAGCATTAGGCTAGAAAAGGTCCATCGGACCCCTGGAGAACCACACTTGTACCCTCTATACACCTACCCATGCTCAGCATCTGTAAAGCTTCAAAGGCAGTGACTGCCCTGGCTACTGAAGATCTAACACGGATAGAGACTTTAGGTGACCTTGCCAAAAGTGAAAAAAAGTTTTAACAGGAATCCGCAAGCTTCAGATGGTTGTGGTTGTACTTTGTGGTTTTGTTTAGGTGGTGGTGCTTTTTCAAAAAACTTAAAAGAATTATTAGCTGCCTGTTTTGGAGACAACCATTAACCTCTTTCAAAAGAGAAACTCCACAGGAGTTTTCCTTTGTTAAATACAGTCAAAACAGTTTCTTCCCTTGGCTTAACTGGAAATGGCACAAACCCCTCCGGAGCGGTTTCCCGCGCGGCCCCAGCAGCCGCCGGGTCCCGCCGAGGGGCGGCCGGGGTGGGACGTTCCGCCCCTTCTCCCCCCCGAGGGCCTCCCCGCCGGGACCCCCGGCCCCACGCACCCCCCAGGACACCCCGCGGAGCCCTGCCCCGCTCAGGGGGACGGCAGCCCCTCAGCCTCTGGGTGCCCCCACAGGCCCCACGGCGCGGCTGGGACACCCCGCCCCGGCCGACTCTCCGCCACCAGCCGCCCTGCGCCCCTCAGCCCGGCCCAGCCGGCGGGACGGGGCCAGGAGCCCCCGCGGCGGCGAGGCACCGACCGCCCGACCACCCATCCGCGCTGCTCCGCACTCACCGCTGCCGCCCGAGGCGGGGATCCGCTGGCAGACAAAGTGCGGACGACGGAGGTGGCCGAGCGCTGCCGGCCCCGCGGCTGCCGCCGCCCCGCTGCGCTGCCCCCGAACTCCCCGCTGCCGGCCCGGCGGAGGAGCAGGCGACGCCACCGCGCATGCGCTGCGGGCCGCTCCCGCCGTGCCGGCCGCCAGGGGCCGCGAGGAGGGGGCGGCTGTGAGGCGGGGCGAGCCCCAGGGCTACCACCGGTCGCCGACCGGCCCGCCCGCCGACCGGCCCGCCCGCCGCAGCCTCCCTTTGCCCCACTGCCCCTCTCCCGCGCTGTGCCGTCAGGCGAGGCCCTTCCGCCGCCCGCCTCGGGGGCCTCCCCTTGGCCCGGGGCCCAACGGACCCCGTTAAGGGTCGGAAACACGGGGCCGGCGGCCCTTGCCTCAGCGCTG